CGTTTGAGCGTTCGGGGTCCCGTACGGGGTCCGAACCCGATGGCGTTCCGCCCCCGCCAAAAATTATTTCGGGGCCTAAAAATGATTTTTTTTTCCTGAATTTTTTTTATGAGTTCTGTATGACGTGAGGTACACGCCTATAGAGTTTCAAGTCATTTGGCTTAGCCAAATAAGAATTAAAAACTTCCAAAGATGGTAAATAAGATGCCACCACCCCCTAAACTGCCATGCCTTGTTTTTCCAGCCTTCCAACGACAGTATAACGAACGACGACGAAAAATGTTCTCAGGGGCATAAAACGCACCCCTGACGGGCTGCGAACAGACAGAAACAAAACAATTACGTGAAAAGTTGCATTATATGAAACTCCATGAGTTATTTGGCAGTCCAATAATACCACCTACAGACAAATAATGTGTGTGTTCCTAAGGCCTGTTTTGAGTCAGAGGAAGGGGTAAAAGCCAGGAGGGGTAGAAGTTMAGAGGGATAGTACATCATTCACTGCCAGGGGAACATAATTTTCGACAAACAAGAAGCAATGAARGTCTTTAACAAACTGACAGGGAAACCTTGAGGTTCATSAAAGTACCTTGACCAATCACATTGCAAAACCGAAAGGAGATCTTCACAGAAAGTGGAGAAGTCCTGGGGTACCCCCCATGCACCGAGGGCACGGGCGGGCGGGCCAGGATTTTCGCGCGGTGAGTCGCGAACCGTGAAAGAAGATCTCAGCCATTCGGTGATGCGTTGCAGGTACGGAGATCGGAGCGCCGCCGCAAAGCCGCACAAAAGGCAGAGAGGAGACAGAGGTGCGGATCCGGATCGGCCAGGAATAGAAATAGCAGAATGTCCCCGGCTGCCTGGTTCCGATCCTGCAGGCGCAATAGCCCACGAAAAGCCCTGCTCCTTCAGTTTGGCCATATTTCGGCCACCCCTATACGAGGTTCCAGCGATAAATTCCGAAGGCGAGGCCTCCTTAGGTCCAGACAAGACTGCTAGGCTTGGGAGTTGTCAAGGGCCATCCTTGTTGCTACCTGAATATCATCCACCCCTATACGGGGTACCAACCTCACGAACTGCTGCTGAAGATGAGGCCTCCCCAGGCCTTGAAAAGACTGTTGAGCCTGGAATTTCCAAGGGGCGTCCTTATTGTTACCGAAGCATCTACTAGACCCACACCCTGAACCTGGTCCCCACTTGGAGCTAGATTCAAGAATGATTCCTGTCACATCGCCTGGTCTGTCTGCAGACCCCGAGTAAGTGACGGCGTCCTTCTGACAAATCTTCCCGTCTYCAAGGTCACGGGCCGTTTTTAATGAAATTGTAATATTATTTGCAATTGCTGGCAGCCAATGGGCTTCTAAAATCTACGCCTTCTATAATACATTTTTTGTGAATTTCTGCTATMTTTATATTTAGCATCATAACCACAAATAAAAATARAACAGCAATAACTCCTACATAAACAACTAAAAAAATCATAGSAAAAAAATCAAGACCTTCGGCCTCCTGAAAGGTCGGAGGCCGAGTATTTTCGAACCGACAAAGGTACTAGTGGYTTACGAGAGCTGCCCGCCAAATGYCGAATTCTTTGTCTTTTGTTTCCAGAAAGAAACAGGTCTAAAAGAAACACACAATTGCGGGGACCTCTAGAGGTTCCGACAAAATACGTGGAGGTCCCCGCAAAATAGGTAACCCCGCAACTGTCCAAACCGCTGACATTTGCGTGCCCATTTGAGTGAAAATGCAAAATACGTAGCCCTTGTGACCAAAAAAATCACCTACAATAGGAGGATTAATACCGGACTGGGGGGGGACTATGCGGGAAGCTAGCGCCGTTGCGCTCTGCTCCCGTGACGCGAGCGACAGTCTTTAGGTCTAGCCATAGCCACGCTGCGGTGCCACATGYATAGYCSGGCAGAGCTTAACCCCATGCCGYGGAGTACACAGCACAGGGAAGGGGGATCTTGCAACGGTCCAGCTACACAGGATAGCTCGAGCAACARAGACACTAGCTTGTCCAGGGCTGAGAGGAGGGAGTGGGCAGGCCCTCTGAGGAGGAGAGGCAGGCAACATGRGGTTTTCAMAYAGGAGCTGTGGAGCAGAACGACAGACAGGTGGCAGCATTGAAGACGGTGACATCATGAACACGCCGAACACTTCTGAACCGAAGAACGCTGAACGCGTCCTTCCCATGGAAAACTTTGAAACACAAAGAGAGGAGAACAAGGATAGCATACAAGATCGTGAATGGAGGAGCTTCGAAGGAGCAATACTCAACTTTGTGGGAGCTAGGTCCTTGTCACCTTGTGTAAAAGACACGCGCGCGCGTGTGTGTGTGTGTGT